ATTTTTATATCATCATGCATAAGGAAAAAAAAATTCCTGACATGCATGAAATAACTTGTTGAATCATACATGATTTTTGGCAATAACAGACAGGGTCGAATATATTTCTGCTCTAGTCTAAGCCTGAAGATCTGCCCCTAGGTCTAACCAACGGAATGACAAAGATGTCAAGATGAGATCCTTATTCCTGCCAGGCCGGTGATGTTTAAGTAGGGCTGTGCGTGTTTACAGATATGGACGTGAAGCAATATTTGTCCACGAGAGAAATCCCTTCTTAGGGCCTGGTCATCACGTAACAACCTTTGACTTGGTATTTCCACACCCCTCATGCTCTGTGAGTCTGTAGAGCAAATACAGATTAGGTGCTGATGGGGAGGTGGGACAAAAGATCAGTAGGTCATGGCACCCATTTACTGAGAGCCAATCATGGTGCTTTAAACAATTGTATCCAGTGCTTGACCAGTGCATGTTTACAGTGGAGGTTGCCATCTGTTGACCATGTAGGGAAAGTCAATAAAAGATAGTAATGCAGACACAGACAATGTAGAAATGTTTATCGACAACAGTACAGCAAATATGCCCCAAAGCAGCATGTCTGCAGAACGTACTGTGCCCGCATGAAACACATGTTTTTCACGATTTTGTTGGATGTTTGGTCAACATTGCATCAGAATTTTGCCTGTCTCAGATATCTTTTCTTGCACAACATTTGAAAGCTAGAGAAGGGATGTCATCCATAAGTACACGAATATGACCTTAAACAAAACGTGCCGAAGTGCTATGCTGAGTCCGTAACAGGTTTCGCACAGGTGCAGTATATTCTGCCAACGTGCTCCCCAACACGAGCTCTACCGTTAATGCCTAATCCTAAGGCGTAGGTTTGCACGGAAATCGATTGATTTGCATGTGGGTTAAATCCTACTCGTTAGGCATGAATTATGCAGGTTGCTGGTGGCTTTATTAATATTATGTCATAGCTGTGTTAGAAAATGAACTTGGTGTAGTTTTTTAACCTACATTCTAATTTTACCAGTGCTGACACTTGTGTTAGCTTATAATAGGGAGAACAGTTTCATAACATAAAAAGTTTCATAACATAAAAGATAGAAGTTTATGAAGATAGTGTTTGCATATGGCAACCGGCTCAGATTAGAAATGTCCATAATAAAGAATCAATTGTTTGACCAGCACAAGTGCACTACTTATAGCTAGCTCTGCTTGCTTGCATCATCATTGGTGACTAAGCTACTGTGTTGATTTTGCTAAGGAACTCTCTACTCCGTATAATAGCTATCAACCACGTCTGTAATTGTCCTATCTTTACTTAACTGTACCCCATGCTTGGTTGTATGTATGGTGACTGTGGCAGGAGGTTGACTGAGCAGCCTCTGTGAAAGGCTGCATTCTTCCAATAGTGCAGGCCTGTGCAGAGCTCCATGGCTGACATTTGCCTAACCTTTCAACTTGTAAAGTGAAGGATGACTGATTATACGGGCTGCTTTACATTCCGTGTGCAGGCTGTACCATCACAACATGGCAGGGGACTGTTCTTGGATTTCTGATGCACATTTCAGACAGAACTTCAGGGGAGAGGGTTATGCATAACATGCACATTTAACAACATTTTACTCCGCATTGTCTGCAGGCTCTAAGGTGTACAGGCTATGTCAGCTTTTAAGGGTTAGCCCAGATGTAGAAATCATGTTACTTGGAAGAGAAACTAAAACTGTTATCCTCAGATACTGACCATACTGTTCTTCTGACCAACAGATTCAGAAGTGGACGCAGCTCAAGCCATGATGACCCTGAAGTCGGGAGGTGCTAGTAGCCATGCAGAAGGTGGGTATATAGACTGTCGCTGTTTTTTTGTTTGCAACAGACAAACGTGTGTGACGGATGTATAGTCACACTATATAGTCACTCCTGTGTATTTATAGAAATGTATAGAGTTTGATAGGCTCTTCAGTAAATGCCAGTCTTCGAATGACTTCTTTACGAATAACCTTTGAAGGCTATGAAATAGGTATACACAAAGATAACGTTTACCTTGTTTTGCATCCTCCCAGCTGTAAGAATCAAAGGAGAGCGTCACTGGACCCCCGCTAGCTTGCCAAATGTGCCAGGTTTCCGTACCTGGACCCCACACTTGTACAGGCCGGGCAATGGTGCAATCAACATTGGTGGGGAGCACTCGTATGGCCATACAGAGGGGAAAGTCAGGTACGTGTCAGTATGTTACAATTTAGAGGAACAAAAAATGTAGTCACCAATGGTGAATTTTTTCCTACAACATTCATTGGAGACAACTGTGCTTTAGAATGTATACTATCGGGTAGAAATTACTTTTGGTTGGTACAGTTCTAACCCCAGCACTGTTTAATAGTGTACGTGTAGCAGAATTCAGTCTTCTGGGTTGGGATTCACCCAAGTACTGTAATTCACTGTGTCTTCACGGTAGCAAAATTTCACAGTCTGAGGAAATTGAACTAATCTTCAGTGAGGTGGCAAGCACAGAGAGGGGGGGGAAAGACAAATGATAATGATAATGGTAACAGTAATTGTATGTTCACGGTACAGAAGTGAATATAAAACTATCAGTACCGTGAAAAAGTCAGGAATTACAGTAAGTTGTTGATACATGCTGTGCTGCTCTGAATATCTGAGAGTGGGTCTTAACATGTCTCTTCAGGTTGTCATCACGTGAAGTGGAAATTACAAGAACGCGTTAAACGAAGGTAAAGCAGTCCCATGACTAGCTCACGTGTGCATACCGTGTGTGGCGTGTTGTGTCGTGAGGGTCGGAGAGTGTAGGCGTTTCTCGTCTTGTAACCGTACTCTTCTCGTCCCACCTCCGCCCAACGTGCTCCAAACACGTGCCAACCTCTCGCTAGTAGAGGCTGTTGTGAATAGAGTGTAGTGTTGTGCAGCTCTCTCTCAGGGTGCTTGTAAATGACCTTGGTGTTCCTCTGTTCTTTGCAGACACAGGCACCGGCACAGGAGGAGGAGAAGCCCCCTGGGGGACCCCATCGTCAGTAAAAAGCCCCAGCGAGGACCACAACTACAGTTGCAACTCTTCACGCGGCTCCAACTCCTGTTCCCGCTCAGGCAGCACCTCACCTACCTCCTCCATCGACGGGCCGTACGAGTACGGGAACGCCAGCGATAGCGATAGTTACCATAGCGACGAGAGTAGCGACTACGACGACGACGAGATGGAGCACGATGGGAGGGTTCTGCGGAAGAGCCTGGGCGACAGCGGCTTCCTCGGGGACGAGTACGGCAAGAAGGAGCCGGGCGGCGACCTCCTGCCCAAGAAGCGCCCCCACGAGCTGAACTTGGAGGATGAGGATGACCTGAAACTGGTGCAGGGGGCAGACGCTCTGCTGAACCTGGCCGGCATCAAGACGGCCTCCATCATCCCCCTACGAACAATCAGCCCCATGGGCAGTGAGAACAGCATGTCTCCCAAGCCTGCAGAGGAGCCCAATCAGCAATCCTCCGATGCTCCCGCTCAAGCAAAGATCAGCTGAAGATGACGACAGTCCTGGTGCATCCGAGCTGTAGCTGGCACTTGTACAGAAGACAGTTTAGAAAAGACATTTTAAGAAATTGTGTGCAAGATCGTGCCGGCCTAATGGCCGGCGTTTAAAGATGAAATTGGTTTTACTGCCATGACAGAAGTTTGGGAGGTTCAACAACAGCAAGATTGGCTGAAGGCCAAAGAGGTGTTCTGTTGAGTGTCATGAGCACTTCTGCATTACAGCTGAGTGCAATGCAGTATCTTATATGTTATAACTATGAGCCATATAAACCAGGGTTGTGGTTGCACTTTGCTCTTCAATGGTGGCAAGTGCTGAACCGAGGGGCCAAAAGAATCAACCTCTAGCAGCCATAAGACGGGCAGGATTGGGGACTAGTTCGGCATCGCTTGGGTCTTTATTACTGGCACGGCAAAACCAACAGAGCTTCCACTTGTTGCCCAAAAAGTCTTGTTTTGGACACAGGAGTCAACCAGTAAGGAGAAAGTGTCAAACTTTTAAGGTTGGGTCTTTCAGATTGTTATGTTCAGGGACAGAGAACTATGTCATACGTACTAGGGGGAAAAAATAAGCATCTATTCTTGAATATAGACATGGCAGATTATTTTTCTTGTTCTTAATGTAACATACCTCCCATCAAAGCATGGGAGACGAATCTCTTTTAAGTTATATGAGATTAGTCAAGAACACATGGTAACAGTAGAAGAAGTAGGGAATATGTTCAAGTTATTTTATATCTTGGTTCGGAGGTTATGATAAATAGGCTACCATAATGTAGATGACTCTAATTTTGTACATTCAGCTGGGTATAAGGGTCACGTCTTGTACCTCATACTGTAATGATGCATTATGGCAATATTATTTTCATAAAAAGACTGTATGATACCAGTGCTATCATAAACGATCAACAAAGGCAAGATGTAGAGATTGAAGCAAAAAAACGCAAAACCTTGAATGAGATTAGAATCCAGGCTGTCCTAAAAGGCAGGACCTGTGGAGGATCATTCAACGATGATCCAGCAAAATAATTTATTTTAGCTGTTAGGCAAACCAAGTCACATGACTTGGGCTCATCATGTTCTTTCTGGATCACGTGACTAACAAAGCAAGGGACTTGCAGGGGAGGTGACATTGTGTGTGTCACAAGAAAAAAAAGTTGATCTGATGTAAGAGTTGTATTTCAAGTTGTTATGGAAAAGTACACCTAGACCTTACAGGCTAGGAATGTTGCATGCACCTCCTTGAGGGCACTGATATTCTAAAAGGTTTGTTAGTGAGATGATCCCCAAGTGATCTGCCGTGCGGAAATGAAGGCAAAAAAAGCAGCATTTGGGAATCCTGAGGTTACTTGGTTGCGTTGAAACCCACAGACTCTGCTGCCCCCTGGTTGGTCCCTTGGCTTGGGTTGCAGGGCAGTAGAACTTCGGCACAGTGCGGTGGGAGCATGAGCAGTTGTGTTGCAATTGGCACAAATGTATCTATATATGCAACTGATCAAACCAACAAATGTCAATCAAATTATGTCAAACAAGTTGGAGGCATATGTCGATCTTATAAATATTGTAAAACCATGTTGTTTGTGCAACTCGTTGACAAAAATCTAGAGCCTAAATGAATTTTTTCATAGCCACAGGGTAACTATTCAAGAAATCTGTACTGTTTGAGATTTGAATGAAACCTATTTCAGATGAATTTTGACCTGATTGATCTCTGGTCTCAGGACTGTTGGATGATGACATCCCCTCGCTTGGCTGACATGACGGTGCCACGCTATGTGTCAGTGAACCCATGCATCCTTCCCAACTCACCGAAGTTCTCTGCTTGACATTTTGTCTAAGATGAATGTTTTAAAGGTCCCGTTGGACCTACTTTCCCCCTACCATGAGGGTTATTTATTGAAAAAAAGTAGCTGTAAACGTGGCAAGTTCCAGAACTGCACTTGATGCAGCGTCTCTGTACATCTGCTACCCATGATTGTCCCGAAGGGCAGGAGAGCTAGCAATGCTGTATGTTACATAGGAGGAAAACTGACAAGTTTTATCATCATTTTATGGCCTCTTGCAGCACAATGAATGAATTGTTTTTACATTTCATTTGTTTTAAACATAAAATTACAGAGTAAGCACTCGAAACTCAATGAACTTCAAATGTTATCAGAATTCTGGGCTGAACATTTTAAACACCATTGTTCCAACAATGTGGACAGGTGTGTTTTGTGATGAATTTTGTGTAGCAGAGAAATTCAAATTTCTTCCACAGTGAGAGTCAGTGAAAAAAATGAAAAATGCTTCATTGTGGCGTCAGCAACTGATGGTTTTACTTGTGCAGTCCTGGGGCCTGGGCACTAAGTGCAAATAGTTACGCACTAGGAGCATACAGCGATGTATAAGGACAATAAAGGTTCTCTTCGACTCATGTCTCTCTGTGATTTCTTCAGTTTATCTTTTGTTTAAGGCCATCTAATGCTATTTCAGGGTGGCATAACTGGATTTTCAAAGTCAAATTTTCTGGACATTCTTCTAGTGTAGTACTGGTAAATTGAATCAACTCTATTCCATAGTACATGTACATGTATACTGATATCAGTTAGGCAATGATGCTGATGGAAAACGATTGCTTTTTTCATATGGTAGGCTGTTTCTAGCTGTTAAGTGGTGGTACAAAAAAATCAAGGGAGCCCTCCAAGTAGCTTGTATTACGGCTATTTCAAACACTTCCAATTTGAAAAGATGAAAATGTGCTTAAAAATGACAGTAAACAGCAAAATCAGACAGATTTCCTCATCCACAATATTTTTTGTTCTGCCACCTTGAAATTACATTGCTCAGAGGAGTGAAACAGTAGTTAATCCTGAGCTCTCTAGTGATTCAGTATGGTGTCCTGAGGCTGCTATGACGTAATGAACAAAGTACTTGAATATATAATGCAAACATCAGAGTGGTGAGTGTCAGTTAGAAAGCACCATCTAGCAGTTTTTAAGAGTACTCCAGCTATGTTCTGTACATTTTTGGTGACAATTTTCCTGACTGGTATGTCTGCCAAAGGTTGTTGTGTAAGGACTGTTAAACCAAATTGAAGATTGGATGAGATTCAAGATGTAACTCTGAAAGTGACGACACAGAGAAGATCCACAGAGAATGGTTAAGTCAAAATAAAGTGGAGCTAGAATGACTGCTATAGACTACAGTATTGTAGAACAACATTCTCTGAAGACCAAAAAATGTTTATCACGCGCACATTTATGATTGCATCAGTGGAACAAGAAGTAATGGAAAAAATTTCATGGTCAGAATCGCCTAGGAAATAGTCTTGTCATCCTTCAAACAATCATCATCATCATTCATCAAACAATTTTAGGGTCATACCATCTGAGGAGTTTTATTTGTATGGACTTCAATCCACTTATCCTCAAAAGTTCCTACTGACACCAATAGTAAAGTCAAAGAGGCGAGTGTTGCTGATCTTTCCCTGCTTATCCAGCACGTAGAAGAAGCGATGACCCTTGATCTTCACTGGAATCTGCGAGGGGGTCCCCCCTCTCCCCACCGCGGCGGACACGTGGGCCAGGGGGACCGTGAACGCTCGTGTTGTGCCGAAGGGTGCGTATGTCAGGAATTGAACATGTTGACCTCCCCGCTGAAGAACAACACGGTTGACAGCTCTCAGTGGGAATAGGAAACACAGGAAAGTGATAGCTGATCCTGGAGAAGAAAAAAATTGACATATCTATTTTAATTGCAAAGGAAATGCATTATGTTAACCTTCACATTATCTATTACAACTAACTATTGTCCATCTGTACATTGTTCTTACTTGAATATATATATATGGTGATCAGCCCCTCTAACTCTGTCCTGCGAATTGCTACTTAATGTAATCCAACTCCAGAGGGTGCCTTCTACAGCACCAGTTACCATAGTGACAGCTGCATTTGTTTGGAAAGGAAGAAGAATGGAGCAAAAACTTCTGCAAAGGTAAACATAACAAGGACAGGAAAAGTAGTGTCTTAAACCCAAATACATTTTTGTACAGAAATCTTGACATGTTTTAAGATTGTTACAAAATGCTAACTGCTAAATGCATACCTGCTGCAAGACAAATGCCAATGACGGCATTCCTCCACTTGTTGCCTGTGACGTACCCAGACATACTCTCCAGTCGCCGCCGCATAAAGGTGTCCTTCGGTGTCCCCTCCCTGGCTGTGTCCTTCTGCGTGCTCTCAGGTGTCCCTGGTCTCCAGGTGGTGTACGTCAGGTGTGCCAGGTACACCCAGAACACCACCTGGGCAACTCCGAACACACCCAGCCGACGATAGTAGCCTGCCCGCTCATAGTGGTACAATGTCACATCCTTCGAAATGTTGGTATCTGTCTGGTACAGTCTTGTCGAGTGGTAATTTTGTCTCTTGGTATGGGACAGCAATAAAGAAATTGTTCTTTTGTTGCACTGCAGTGTTGTTGAGTGCTTCCATCTAAATGTGGAGGTTTGAAACATCTCACTGCATGTCATTCGCTTCATCAGAGAACCCATGGAAAATGGCATGAGCAGTCTGACGGCCATCTTGTCAGAGGTGATGTTGGGGAGTTTAATATATATGATGGAGGTCTGGAAAGGCAAAAAAAAATTCTGCTTACAGTTACTTATATAGTATGGTTTCATCTTTGTGACATGTTTACAATTTGTTTTCTAAATGGCGGACACTTACAGAAAAGTAAAATAAGTTCTGAAGGTGATCATTAGAATGCCCCACTTCATATGATTTAGCGAAGCTCGCTAAATGATAAAACGTCCTTGCTAAAATATTTAAGATTGCGTGTTTATATAGGCTGCAGTGACTTATAACGTTACAGAAACATTTTGTTTCATCAATGCTGTGAAATGCAGGTATGCAGGTAAAATACAGTTGACTTGTTTAACCGTCTTGGTGAGTTTTAGCAAACCTCGAAGAGATGTCTAGGAGCAAGCCTATTGGCTATAATTACTAGTGAGTCAATTCCTAGAAAAGTACAAAACAGACGACAAACCGGCTCACCTCACATGGGCGCAGCCATGTTTCCTTCCCAGAGTGCACCGAGTGACACGCCCACTTTCACGGGACCACCGCGGGTCGGTCCATTACGCTGAAAATCAAGGGAGTCTTGTATCTAATATTTGCTTTGGTATCCAACAAATATAATAAAAATGTCAGAATTTTAGATTTAACTATTTTAGTTTAGAATATTCGTACAACTATAATGTAGTTGATTCGTATCTTTTACAGAGAATCTTTGTGTTTTTACTGAGACTTTGAATAAAATTCCCTTCGTGTTAGTAGACTCTTCCAAGATGGCTGTCGGCAATGAAAGGAGAATCGTACAACAATAAAAACTTTTGATTTTGACAAATTCTGACCGCCAGCTGGACCGGGTAGAATCCGAGATGGCGTCGGGTGATATTCAGAACAAGTACCAGCGCCTGGCGCAGGAGTATGCAAAGGTACGGCCATGTTTTTTACCCATGAGTTGTCACGATCTAGACAGGAAGGACACCTGCCCTTTATACAAAAATATACAAAGGTGCCAAATACAGTTAGATTGCGTAGATTTGCGAAAGAAAATAATTTGTATATAAAGTGGTATTGATCTCATATGATACTATTTCTACATTATGCCAACAATTTTGGATAGGGATCGGATGTAGGCCCAGAAAACAGTAATACAGTGTTTTGCTACATACTCAGACATATCGACATACCACTAATTTCCTGCTCAGTATTTATTATTTCTCCCTTTATATAATCTAATATTTCCTTTGGGAACGCTCCTTTCGTGTAGTGGACTCATCTTCACATCACCATGCTTGCAGTTCCAAGCCAGGCTTACTATACGAAGAATTAATGTGGTTATGTATATGGAACATTCTCTATATAGTATATCACTAAAATTATCAGCATATATACTACTAGTACATGTATTATGATACGCTCAAAGCTTCCTTACCACGAAACTTAAACTAGAAGGGAACATGCAAACTTTGCAAATGCATATGTTAAGATCCACTAAAAATCTGATCAACAGATCCTGGGGTGCCTCCTGGGGTAACTGCAAATAAATTTTGATTTCAGCTTCACCGTACAAACTGTTCTTTTCCCACCTTACACTTACAGATGAAGTCCCAGCATTCTGTTCTGAAGAAGGCTGTCATCGACGAGCAATCAAAAGTAGCAGATCTGACGGTAATTTTTTAAGAAAATTTCATTGATCATGTGTTTTAAATCATATGTATGTGAACTTTTCCTGGTGAAGGAACACTTGAGAGAAAACATCTATTGATTGACTGCTTTGCAGCTGATAAAGATATATTGAATAGAAAAATGGAGTACATGTACTTAAGTGTAGTTTGATTTGAAATAAAAATGCCATAATGTTGCAAATAAACTTTGGAAGACTAAAGATATAATTTGTCACGATGAAAGCTTCATTCTATAACATTTTACTTTATTATCATCAGAAGTTATGGTAACCATTATATGACAAAATGTAGGACTAGCAAAACTGAAAAGAATGAACACAATAAAACTGAAAAGAATGAACACAAATTTTGTACACTCGTAACTGTCTGCAGGAGTCGGTGAAGCTGAAGGACCTGTCCATCAGGAAGTTTGAGCAGGAGATTGACAGCCTGACGTTCCGTAACCAGCAGCTGGCCAAACGGGTCACCGTGTTACAAGATGAGCTGGACTCTGCAGCTGTCAAGAAAAAGAACAAGGTGACTAATTCAAGCATGTCGACAAAACATACTGTACCTGCATGAAACCTGAAATGTATTGTGTATGTAGCACTTGGGCAGAACGTCTCTTGTAAGGTCATATTCGTGTATGTACATCTTTATCAAGTAAGTAAGTAAGTAACATCTTTATCTGTCTATCATTTTCAAATGTGTCAGAAAAGATATAATCTGGAACGGGTAACAGACCAAACATCCAACAAAAACCGTGAAAAATCTGTGTTTCACTCAGGCACATTATGTTCTGCCAATGTGCTACTACTTCATAGACTAGTGTGATGGGTTTGTGGTATAGATATTCGGATATTGTGTTTGCAATCATCTTCAATTCATGTTATGGAATTAAAAGCTGGTAGTAACACTAGTGGAGTAACACTATTTGTGCCCATGACTTTTTTCCAGTTCTTCTCTCCACTGAGATCAACGACTGACTGGTCGGTATGTTTGTCAGGTTGTCTCCTACCTCATACATCATCTAACATCTCATCCTCATGGCTTCTTCTGTCCTCTAACAGGTTATGTTGCAGGGCTGCTTTTGTGATGGGTGCACTGGCACTGCTTTTATATCTGGTGATGCAGAGTCTTGATATGTCACTTGTGCTATGCCAAGCTTTGCCTTCATTTTCTTAAGTGGAACTTAAAAAGACACTACATACAGGGCTCTAGCCAGCACCCATTTTCCCATCAATTGCAGGAACTTTGTGGTGTGTGAGAGAAAAATGTTTAGTCCAGTCCGTTGACCTTGATGGACACAATCGGCAAAAATCTTGGGTAAAAATATAAAAACATGCAAAGGAACACCAACAACCACTCTCAGCCCATGACTAGCCTCTCAAAATGTGGGAAATTGTGTTTTTAAAGGCTTGAAAATTTCCAAATTTGTCCCCAGCCCCAAAAATTTCAAGCTGGCAAGAGCCCTGAGGAGATAGTGGTGGTAATATCTTTTCTATTGTCTCACGGTATTGCAACATAAGGTAATGGGAATGGCATCTATGTTTTAATGAGTATTTCATAATTGAACAAACTTTTATTCCTGATAGACAAAAGGACCAGTTGAGCCAGCCCCTGTTGTAGCAGACCTCAGTGTGTTTGGAGAAGACCTGCAGAAGAAGATCCAGGAAAATGAGAGACTTCACATGCAGGTTGGTGACAAGCCTTGTGCTGAAACATTTTGATAAGGTCATTCCAATTTTAATTTCTTAGTTCTCAGGTTTGGCCACTTCATTTTTTTCTGATTTGAAAAAAAAAAATGTACATGTACCTTGTAGGCTCAAGTTTTGGCACTTATTAGTTTCTTCCATTTATGAATGCAGTGATTTGATTTTATTAAACATTCAAAATTTATTGTTTGAATTAGAAGCCAGTCCAGCACTTCGTGGCTCCTTAAAAGTCCTTTGGTAGCATTTGGAGCTCTCACAGTATGCCGAGATGTGTTATTTTTTCACTAGCCCGCTTTATTAATGTCCTGAAAAGTCAAGAATCAACAAATCAAATTAGTATGGCCTGATACATTTTATCACAAGCCAGTGCAGGTTTGGTGCAGGTGGATATCATGATCAAGAACACCTGCACAGCTCTGGAATTTTACCTGCCTCCCCTCCAGGTGCACCAGGAGACGGAGGAACACCGGCAGGTGGTGGCCAGCCTGCAGCTGCGGCTAGAGCAGCTGGAGAAGGAGGCCGGTCAGCACCAATCTGTCCTGGACTCCATCCACCAGAACCACAAGGCCTTAGTGGACAAGCTGCAGCAGGAAAAAGCCATGCTGGAGGTGGGGTCGTCTCACAAATAGATTTGTTCTAGAAATAAAAGAACTACTAGTCCAGCAGCTACTCAGTAAAATAGAGTTCTGACTAGTAAGAAAGTACCCAAGTATCTAATTGATCAAGAGTTCTACTACCTCAAACCTTTGCCAAACAATTGTTGTAAAAGTAGGCCCTGATTGGTCAACCTTCCAGTTTGATATTTTTCAACTGTTTAAAAGAATCTGTATTTTGACATCCGCTCAACATTATGTTGTAGATTGGATGACCAATGCTTTGTTTTGTCCTACATAATAATTTTCTTTGGTAAGATTTTGATTATCTATAAGGAACAATACTACTAGCTCTGCTGTGTTAAACTTTTTGTGTTTTTTATTTTGTTTGGATAGTATCTGTGATACTAGGTGATTGCTAATTTGCTATAACTACTCCCGCCCCAGGTCAAATTACAGAAACAGGAAACAGATGTAAGAGATTCCAAAAGGATAGCTGACCATTGGTAAGCAGACACTTCCTGGTGTTCGACTACATTATGTAGCAAGTGGCAGGACAGAGTTGGAGGGGCTGGTCAGCATTTATATGAATGTTACCTTTCTAGTTTTACACTTAACTCCCATTCGTTGTCTCATTACAAAAAAGGAACTACAATGTACCTTATGCATAGTTTTTGAGAACTTAAACATGCAGTCATCCAAGGATGTTATAGTAAGTCAAATCACAGATACACTTCTACAATGATAGAATCAGTATGGTCCAGTAACAGTTTTAGCAATGAAAATATGTAAAAGGCTGTTAGCATCTATTTTTAATCTACTACTGTCCATCCAGTCAACAGCAGCTGAAGAGAGTCCATGCTGACCTCAGTTCCAGGCTGGATGATTCCACTAAAGTCATCCAGGAGAAAGTCATCTTTAATGACACCAGTAAGTGGAGAAAAAAATCCATATTAAAGTCAATGTTTCTGCCTTTGTTTTATACCATATTTTGTTGTATTGTCTACATACACAAGAGCCACAAATACTACAGTACATGTATAAGTCTAGCAGCTATGCCGTATGAATTATCACAGAAGTGTCTCCAGTACCTGGTTTATGGTCAATGTACTCTATGCATCACTCCTTTCATATGTTGCAACTTGCAAGGACATTTTCAAAAATCTGAATCCTGTTCTTTTTATTTTTCAGAATATCAAGAACTAAATGTGCTGAATGTGCCAACTCATGACAGAAAACACCAGGTAAGATTCAGATATGTTAGCATTTTATTGTAGCTGTCCAAAGGAGAGCAGTGCTTTCATTGGAAATCTCATTGGTTCAACCATGTGCAATATGACTTTGTGCAGTATGTGTTTACATCCCTATAAAACCATCATATACTTGTGTGCTTTGTATGAAGTCAAAATGTCAAATTGGACCAGTACGTAGTATACATATTTAAGTCCATTGATCAAGGCTCCCACTTTTGCTACTCAGCAATAATTTAGATATTCCTGATGTGTACATTCCAATTATTATTGTAACCTGTGTAAAATTTCTTGCTTACAGGTGAAGGCTAAAGAGTTGATAGGCCAGGCCTTGGGGTACATTGGAGACCTGGTGTCTGGTATGTCAAACTACCTAACGTATGCAGAACAGAGGAGTCAGATCTTCCCTATGGACTCCAGCACAGGAGAACCTCTCAGTCCCACCAACAGGAGGGTCAGTTTTGTGTTTTTTCCTCCAGAAAATGGAAACATTCTGTACTATGTAATGTTATCAACATTGTAATATTGATGATAATCTGATGACCAGAAAGAGGTATTTTAGTCATGCATGTTATGCTACTTTTTGTCTTCTAGATAGTACATTTTGTTAAGTACATTTACATGTAGCTAGAACTGCTCAATTTGAAAATACACCTTGCATATTTCATTTCATTTATTGGGGATGCAACAGTGCATGACAAGTTGTAGTCAGGCAGCAACAAGGCAGGCTGATATTCAGATACAGTAGTCAAGATGAGTCACATCTTGTGTACACATGTATCTTATGTGTTGTACAACATGAGATACTAAGTATTGGTAGCCATTTGATGTTACTGTTTGAACTATGCCCTCCAGCTGTGCCAGTATCTGCACGAGAATGCTTCTCATCTGAGGCCGATAGAACAGTCGTTCCGCTCATTCCATGAGGGTCTGAGGGAGGATGCTCTGACCACGTTGGTAAGACCATTACATCAGTCCTTTCCTTTTTCCCAGCTGTCTAACCCTATAAACAATAGATTAATGGTATGCAAATGGCTACTTCAGTGTACTAAAGGTTAAGCTTTTATATGTCATTGTTGTGTGTGACATGGGGATACTTTCTTTTTTAAGAATTTATGCTTAGAATAGTTTTTGGGGTAATTGAGTGTAAGTCGATAAACATAATTTGGAATTGGCTATTCAGATAGTATTACAGAAAGCCAGCTGTCCTCTACACTTGAAATGGGACAACAATACAGTGTGTGAGAAGGTTTGCAGGTACTATCTAGTCAGCAGTCCTTTCATAATGTATGTTTTTCTCTGTTTGTCAGGAAACTGCAACAGGCATACAGGATTTTTCAGAGAAGTTCCACTCATATGTTGCCTACATGGAGAAACTCCTACCATACCAGCTCAGAAGGTATGTCATTATCACACCTCCAGTATTGATTGAATTAGATCATGTCTTTCAGTACCACCCACAAAAGCATTTATTACTTGATTTACTGTTTATCATACATTGCAACAATTTCAGAATGAAATGGACATTACATTTTACATCTTCTACCAGGCTCATGCCATCATAATTTTTGTTCCTTCACAGTTTGGAAGAGGAGTGTGCAGTTTCCACCTGCTCTGCCACGCTGGAGGCACGGAACATGGAACTCCACGCCTCCCTGCCAAAACTCACCGCTACCCTCTCCAAACTGGACAACTACCTGTCACTTATCGCCACTGCAAGTACGTGTCATCCAAGTCTCCTCATTTAGCCCTGCTATGAAACCATCCTTGATTTCCTCGACAAATAGTCCGATACTACAGCCCTGCCCACCTCTATCAAACCATAGAAATGCAAAATGAAAACATAACAAATGCAAATATTTGAAGGACATACAGCCCATTGGCTGAACTGCTAATTGCCATACTCTCATTGGTTGAGCTGCTAATTGCCATTATCTTATTGGTTGAGCTGCAAATTGCCATTCTCTCATTGGTCGAACTGCTGATTGTCATTCTCTCATTGGCTGAACTGCTAATTGTGATGGACAGTCAGGATTGGTCTACACTGTTGGTTTTTAAGATGGCATTGAGTCATAACTTACTGTAGAATTGCAAACATTGTTGTATATTCACTGTTAACATTGCTGACCCGTATTGTCATAGAAGGAGGATATGAAAAAAGAGATGAGGAAACTGTACTGGTGTAAAAGAATGTATCCACACATGTACATGATGATATCTTCTCCACCTGTGCAGGTAAGTCATCCAGGGAGCACCCACGGACCAACCAGGCAGCTTTCTTCACTCAGATGGCTGCAGGACTTAAGCAGCTTCACGAGGTGTTAAAAGGTGGGTATGTCTTCTAACAATTTCTTCTTTCACTACTGCATTATTATTACCACTTATTAATTTATTACTACATGTACTGCATTGCAGAATTGTTTTAACAGTGAATTGAAAACACTGCGAAAGCCTCCTTTTCCCTTCTACCACAAAATTAAGGCTCCGTAAAAATAAAAGAATTCAGAACCTTGTGCTCCTCAGTCCTTATGACATGGATTCATCTTGGTCCCGTGTTGTGTTCTACAGAGATCTCCAAGCATTACAACACAAAGGTGTCACTGGAGCACCAACTTCCCACAGCAACACAGGTCAGAACTTCTTTGTTCACTTTAACTCGAGATTCATGATGCACAGTAAACACTGTTAACGCTGTTGCTGGTGCAGTTGGTAGTTAAATGCCTTGGAGAAAATCATACTGAGGGAAACAGTATTCATTGTTTTCTCTTTAAATACAGAGGTATTTTGCAGACTCCATGTGTAGAAATTCTGTCTGTTTCATCAACAGAAGTTGAAGACAACAGACGAATGTGTGGTGTCATCCCTGGTGGCTCTGGTGTCCTGTACAGGGAAGGTGAGTAACGTATTGGTTAGAACAGTCCAGATCAAACAGTGACTTGTACAAGTAATGATCTTAGAACTGGTTTTAACTGTTGTACAATGTACTTAAATATAGTGTAAGTGAGAAGCAGTATAATGATGTGCCATAATGCACTGAACAAGCTGCAGTACCACTTTTCCCCACCTGGTGTCTTTTGGTCCAGATTGGTATTGTGAGACCATTGTGAACAACACATTCTCTGTCTATCCTTCCCCTCAGCTTGCCCCCTTCTTCAGCAGCAACCTGGAGTTCTTCGTCAGCCGTGCAGGCTACCGTACGCGGGGCGTGAGTCTGTGCCGTGACACGGACGGACCTGTGTCCTCCCCAGTGGTGACTGACCTTAGGGACAGAGCCACCTCTTACATCAGCAGGATCAAGAGGGTGGGACAAATCTCTACTTTCAATCTAAAATGAATGTTTTTATGTTTACCTTTGCAGAAGGAAAACATTGTTTTTGCTCTTCTTTCTGTTCTTCCATGCCATTTCAAACAATACTCTCTATGGTGTTAGATTACATAATGTAGCAAGTGGCAGGCCAGAGTTGGAGGAGCTGGTTACAATATATCTGAATGCATTTAAGTGACAGTGAGTGTTTGAGTGTAAGCATGAATAAAAAGACCAGTAGTTTAATGGACTAGACCATGTGAGGGTAGACATTATGTATTTACTTTGCAAATGTTACCTTTCTAGTTTAATTGTTTTTATAGTTTGCAATGTAGACATCTTCTATGTCTGATTTACCTATGACATGTATGATGAGACATAAAGGATGTCCCTTCCTCCACAGCCCTGCCCAGAGTCTGTTCCTTACAAGACAGCAGTGTTGAACAGGAGAACTCTGCTCAGCTCCACAGAGAGTAGAGAGGGGCTAGCACAACAGGTGAACTATGCAACGTCTTTATAACGCTTTGGAGCATATTGCCTTGTAATAATTCTAATTATAAGAGTGAACTACATGTAAATGACAACTCAATTTTCACAGTGCTGCAAACTTCTGCAAAGTGCCTTGAACTTTGTATGTCCATTTTTTTCCATCTTGCTGACTGAGTTTTGGTAATTTCCAGCTGACCACTGCCCAGGAGAAGATCCGGGGCCTTGAACAGGAGAAGGAACACTGGATGTTGGAGGCACAACTGCTGCAGGTCCGGCTGGAGAAGGAGACTAAGGTACGGCTGTGAACAATTTGCAAAATTTATGAGTTGGCTTGGATGGAGTCAAAGTTTACTCAGCAGAGTCAACTCAGAGCTCATTTTGCCTGTGTAAACAGAACGGCAGGTTTCCCCAAGTTACTCAGGAGGAGGGCCAAATAGTGTTGTCATGTGTTGACTCTCCAGGCAAGACAACAGCCTCTAGGCATCCAATGCAATTTCAGGGTGGCAAAACAAAAAATAATTTGGATGAAAAAATCTGTCTGAGTCGACTCAGAAAGCATGTGTGTAAAGCAGGCCAGGATCTGGTAGCCTGGGTACCATCCTAGTGAGCTCCTGACAATGGTACCAGTATTTACAGCTGATAAAAATTAAACATGTTTTCCTTTTGAATTGAATATCAAAATGATTCTTGTTGCATCCTCTGATAAACAGCGGGTGTCTCAGCTGGAGGTAGAACTGAGGCAGCTGCAGGCAGGCCAGGTGCTGACACCAGCGCCCCCTGTGGAGGGGACACAAACTGCAACACCTGGAGACAGAAAGTCGGTAGGATCAGATGTGGAAACTTCAATGGTGAGTTCTCATCTTCCTCTTAGAAATGTTGTTGCTAACCTCATTTGCCACTTGTCGGAATGGATTTAGCCAGCCAAGTTCTAGGATTACAGATAAACTAGAAAGGCCAATATTTGCTTTGGAGCAAATACAGCGATGGGTTCACCACATTTTACGACATGGCAGGGAAAGAATGAGAAACACAAGGGAAAACAATGATTTACATTGATATAACTATAATATGAAGTAAAATACAACTAAAACAACAGTTGGATAGCTATTCCCTACTTTATTGGTTAGGATTTTTAATTGCATAATGCAAACTGTTGATTTTAAAAAAAAAAAAACGTCCATGCCCGCATTCCAATGCTGGAGCAGGAAAGCTTGAAATACCTACCAAAACACTTGAATACAGACATACTGTCAGTATGGAAATGCTCTGTGCAGGTGTTAATCAAGTTAAATCCCAACAGCCAATCAGCAAGAAATGCTCTGTGCAGGTGGAAATGCTCTGTGCGGGTGTTGATCAAGTTAAATCCCAACAGCCAATCAGCAAGAAGAATAGAGGAAAGCTGCATGCCTATTGGTTGATGCCCTGCATTCCATTGTGATGACTCATGCCCAAACGTGGTAAACAAGGCACACTAACACAGTAATACATTTGCTATAACACAGCTAAAAAACTCAAATAAAACCATTCTAAAAGCCTGTATCACAATAATTTAAAAAACGCCTAGGGGTATTTGCCCACTGTACCTCCATACCAAATTTCAGGACCTTGGGCCCTAAAATGAAGAAGCTGAATCCATTTAAAAAAATGGCAGGAGAAGGAGAAGGAGAAGGAGAAGAAGAAACATCAGAAAAAGCAATATGGGTTCACCACCACTTCGTGGTGTGGTGAACCCATAAATACTGGACTAAGTATATCATCATGTTTAATCAAACTTTTGGTTTCTTTCAGCTTGGCAAACTGGAAAGTTCTGCTGCAGATGAGGTGCGTTGATCATTTTCTTTCAGTTGCTGTTGTTGTTGTTGTTGCTCTGTCAGGCAACACTTACACAGGCACACTTTTAGCTTCAATAATTCAATGTCATTTTTGTAAGGTCAGATAAATTTCCCTAAACAAAAAACTGTGATGCCGGTATTGCATTTCCATTGGGAAGATGCTGCCATAATCACAGTCCTCGTGACCTTTCTCTGTCAGAGTTCCGAGTCGGAGACCAGGGAACAGCTGATCAAAGCCCACTTCACCGGCAGGGTGACGGAGCTGACGTCACAGCTGCAGCTGGCAGACAGCAAGGCTGTCAACTTCCACTCTGAGGTCAGCATCTGTGCTATGCGATTCCCTGTCTGTGTGCTCTATCTGTAATGGGGTTGTCAAGGTTAGATTGGGAACAATAAATGCCGGTTATATTTATAGGTTATAGCAGGTGTCATCACATACAAAATGTTACTATAAGAAATTATCCACCAGAAACATGCTTGGGGGACAGTGCTTGAATATATCTATCTCAGGAATAAGACTGGATACCATTTGATATCATGTTCGTGTGTGGACACTAATAGATTATAGAATCCTGTGTTGTCCCCCTACAGTGCCGTGCCCTGCAGCAGAGACTTGGCCTGGCAGAGAAGGCTAAGGAGAAGTTCCAGGAGGAGCTGCAGACAGCCCAACAGAAGATCGCACAGCTGCAGGTCAGCCTGAACCTCATCATCTACAGCACACCCAAACAAGTTCTTACTTCTATAGCCAACATTTGTAGCAAAGATACTAAATACTATTCCTTTTTTCGTCAGTCTCTGTTAAACCATTGTCTTCCTCATTTGATACAGGCTTTTCATTGACATCCTGATGGTTATGATTTGAGCCCCTATGTGTAACAGACATACCATATACACAAACATAGCACAAATTAAATCATATGAAAAGCCTGCATTACACTTGATAAACCCCATGTAAATGCTTTCCTGACTGGAGCCATATGAAACAATTGTGTAACAGAGGTGTTGCTCCAAAATGCTAGACACACTATTATATAGGTATATTAATGAAGATTGACTGTCATTATCTGCCATGAGTACTGACCAATTACCGTTACAGGATGAGCTGACCACCACGACCAGTAACTATGAGAGCCAGCTGAGCATGATGAGTGAACACCTGTGCAGCATGAACGACAAGCTCACACAGCAGAGGGACGAGATTGACGCTCTCAAACTCAGCAACAAGGTCTTTTGACTTTAACTTTTAGCATGCTAAGGCAGCCATTTGGGTATGGGGTTAGGCAGCAGGGAGAAGGTTAAATATGATTGTTTTTTGTATAACTTACACCAGACATATGTATCTTACACTCTTTTGGATTCATCGCTGTGTGTAGCAAAAATTGCCCCCCCCCCCAAAAAAAAATTAGCTGCCAAAAATATATTTTTCAATAGGACACTGCTTTGGGTATAACAAAACCTGTAAGCTTTTGAAGAATATATTTAAGCAGTACATGAACTTTTTACAAAATGTTGAGTATCAGAGCAGAATTTGTTGTAATGCTAGTTACCCTCCATGAAAATGGGGGTATTGTTTTTACTCTGTTTCATGTTTGGTCTGATATCTGAAGATCGGTGAGAAGGAACTGTACGATATTTGGCAGATTGATGGATGGGGCCTTGGAGATTGTGTAGGTTGACTTTGAGCCCCTGGTGATTGACCTTGGTACTGCAGTTTAATTTTTTATTCTGTTGTTTGCGCGTTATGGACTGTTTGTGCGATATTAAGGTAGCATGTAGTTGTTATTACCATGGTTTAGTGGTTTAAATTTGGGCTTCCTAGCTGTTTGCGTTTGATATTTACAATATGTTTAAAGTTGGTCTTTTTGTGTTGAATGTTTGGAAAATCTGGTGGGTCGTTTGGTATAATATTTGGTATGTGGGTAGTTGTTGAGTCTCTTTGCGTTTTAGAGTGCATTAGCAGGTTGTCGTATATTTTTATTGCTTAATTTAAAAGGATTTTCATTTTTTCACCCCTACTTCATAATAGGATGGTCTGTTTGACCCAAAAGTTGGGACAGATCTAGAGTGTTTTTGTTTATATACTAGTATCTATTTTTACCTCCTGTTTGACAGGCTATATATTTTTTTGGTCTGGTTGTTTTTGGGTCTGCCGGCCTTGCTAATGGTGTGGTTTGTTTGTGTTGTGATTGAGAGGTCAATGACCTCACCTCTGCAGGATTAATTATGATTATCTTTGGTTCGTGGTATTTTTTGAGTTTCTGTGTTTTAGTGTCCATAATAGTTGGTGGTTGTAGATCTGTAGTGTAGCTTATTCTTGCAAGGTATGCTGTGCATTTTCTTATTTGATTTATTTGCTGCCATAGATAAGGACTTGAGACCTGTGGGGTTAGGTGGGTTTGGGAGCTTGGGTGTTGTGCATTCGTAACTTGACTCCTTGCACTCCTACCACCAGGAAAACAAATGTCTCTCAGGCTATTAGGAAATACCATTATTCATGGTGATAGCTGCATGTCACTTCTGGTAGTCTGTGAAGCCGACAGGAGGCCACTGTAAAACTCGCTTGAAAGTTTATCTGGGTTGGTACTTACATGATAAAAATTAAAATTGTACCAACACAAAGCAACTCCCTCATTATTCATGGCCATATAACGTCCAATTAAATTTAAACCCAGCTGTCATGTTTTAACAATCAACACATGCGATAACATAAAAAAGAACCCTAACAACACCAACCTCGTTCATGGAGGGAAGATGTCTATTGCTTGTTTTTGACACTGCAAGAACTATCAGCCTTTCAGGTTATGACATGTTGTCTTGTTATTTTACAGGGAAGCAAGAAAGGGAAAGGAAGATGAGAGAAGGCGTGAGGAGGAGAAGCTACAGAGAATAAGTAGACCCTAAGCAACTTGTCGATGACCTGAAAAATGTAGTCAGCTGTTGATAGCTTGCTTTTTTATTGTTTCATACAGCAGTCAAAACAAGTAGTGTATCTAGCTCTCTTGACTTACGGGAGATGGCAAATAACAGAGAAATGTTCTCTGATCACTGAAAAAGGAAATTCCAGAGTCACAAGTCATCTGTATCTTTTTGCATTTATTTGAAGCATCAGGCTAGAAGCATCCATAGACATTGTCACACATGCTATGCTATGTGGTAACAAATTATGAAGTCAAAATGTTTACTAGGTCAGAAACATTAAGTTATGAACTTCAAATGATATGGACATTTTGATTAGTCTATAATAGCAATTTTATTATCAGTACATTGAAAGATATTGCTTTGCAGGAAGTTAAGTTTCCTTTTTCAATTTCACACATGTTCTGGTTTATTATACACCAAGTTAGCCACTAGCCTGGGTGCCATCCGACTTGTAACGGCAACCCCCAAAAAATTGGGGTTACAAATCGGATGGCACCCAGGCTAGTTAGCCACAGCTTTTCCATAAAACTCTTAAAAGGAAGAGTATTTAATTTGAAAATGGTACTAGATAAAAGATGCCCTAAAATATGATCTGTCATATGTTCCTCTTGTGGAAAAGTAAATGTACTTGTAATTGGAGCATGTGTATTCATTGTGTACAACAGTTGATACTGTAAGAGTACTATGTAGTATTATCTGAAGGAATACAATACAATATGAAAATACTAAAAGATACTTTCATCTATTGTATAATCATACTAAAAGTACAAAACAGTGTACTAGTAAATCTTTTTGAGATTTGAGAGACTATGAGAGGAAGTTTTAAATTAAACAATGATGATGTATTCAGATCAGTATCATATAATATTTTTCCCAATAAGGAATATCTCCTTGGAATTTTGCCAAGGAGGATTATTTAATACATGTTACAATTTTATTTGTTATTCAAGTAAATTATCCCTGGTTTTGGAATTTGGAAGCTTGAAAAAAATCATGTCTTCGTTTTGTTGAGCAATACCCAGTATTATTAAATACATGAACAAATATATTCACAAATTGGGCTCAAGTGTTCTTGAACCGGAACTTGGAAGTGAACTCAATGGATATGTTACATTTCTAACAATTAAATTGGGAGCAATAGAAATGGAAATCAACATTGCACTATAATCATTATAATGATTTTAAATATCAATTGCAACATATTGTTTTTGATTTTAGAAAATGCCTAGATGACTACTTCTAGATCTAGAAGTCAAAAGTTTTCAACAATCTGTGAAAAAACAATGATATTTCCAAACAGATCATTTGGTGACTACAAGCAAGGAGATTCAACATCATATATACTACATGTACTAGTAACGTCCTTGCTGTACAAGGCAGCATTAATTATAAATTGGCAAGTCAGTATAAAATTGGAAAGGCAGTATCCAATATGTCATGGTAAAAAAGATACCGGTATAAAAAAAGAATAATGAAAACGCCCAAAAAGACGTCAAAAGTAAGCCTAAACCCTTGCCTGGAGAGTGGATGTCACTCAGGTTCCTACATGTTGATCATGTTGAGTATGCATTGAAATCCATGTACATGGGGATTTCATGCCCAATTAGCCCATGATTTATTTGCTGGATTACGCGGGGATAAATCTAATCCATCTAAAACACGTAATGGGACAAAACCCTACAGTGGAAGGTCAACTGTACAGAGCATGAGCTTGTGGTTGATAGTACCGATCAGTAGCTGTTTATCATGGTAGCACGCTATGCTGGACCCCCACAACCACCGGCCGTCGTCAGAATACATCTCGGTGACTCTGGGGTTCTCCCCCGCCGGGTCCTCTACCCGCAGCACCTGGGAGCCGCACGGGCGGGACGCGTCTTTCAGGTGTTCCGCTAGCTGGAACGCGCTCGGGTGCGCTCCTATCCACAGGTCACCAGAAGCGGGATCCACAAATATCTTGTGAACACTTGAATGTAGTGAGATGTCCCGACTAAACGCTAAAGTGTTGTCGTCCTGGCGGCGATAGACGTTCACAACGCCGTTGGTAAAGTCAGCCACATACACGAGCTTTCCCTCGGGGGATAAGCTGATACCGTTCGCGTAAACAAAACCGTCCGCCACGATGATTGCTTCTCCGCCGCTTGTGTAGTAGACAACGTTAGACCACGGGAGTAGAAGCCAAGTCTCTGCCATCCTACTGTACAAACCTGTACTGTACTTGTCGTTCGAGGCGTAAAAACTCTCCGGTCCTATGGCAAGGATGTCGTTGAGGCTATAGAAGAGTGGATGTGTAATAGACTTGATGTGGTGCAAGCTGTTTGAGTTGGCGTCAAAGCGAAAGATTTCTACTCTGTCTTGGTGACCTTTGGCATGGTTCACGACAAAGAGCCTAACTTCTCCCGAGTCGTCTTCGTAAACGCTAAGTCCGTGGGGCATGAAGTCTTCCTCCACGCTCGCTGGCACGATGTTGACTTTCTTGGCTCCCTCGGCGGGGTAATGGAAGTCAAAAACGAGAATTTTCTGCTCAAAGGAGAAGTACGCGGGGTCCAGGATGAACCCGGCTGGCACCAGACCTGACGAGATGAACGCCAGACCAGACGAGGTGAGCGCGATGTCCTCAGAACCCTGCTCCGCCCCCGGAACAAACCGGCAGGTGCCCGGCACGTGGTTGTAGACGTGCTTCAGCATCCCCGTTGCCATGAGCAGCTTTGCCACATGATTGAGAACCACAGCAGACGATACAACCGCAAGTACGAGCACCACTGTCCTAGGCATCGTGGATGGAGGACACTTTAACACCTGATTTAAAAGGCCCGTTATGTAAGGGACCGTACAGCATTAAGCAGGGGGGGGGCTTGGTGTGTAAAATAGGCATAGGCTGGTCCAAACTAGCCTGACTGAACCAGGGACTGAACCTCGCTTTTCGCCGGCTCCAAACGCGTAAACGTCGAACCAAGGACTATATTAGTATGTATGGTGGAACAAATCAAGTTATTTTGGGCATAGGCTTCTCCCAGGTCCAAGAAGTCTAAATTCGAATTATCATGATCCTCACCCAGAAAATGTTAATTTTCATGGCACTCCTTGACTGCCCAAAAAATTACATAGCCCATAAAATCACCTGTCCCTCCCTGACACCCCACCCCGATAGACATCGCACGCTCCCCGACAAGCGTGAAGGCAGAGGGGTATTTTACGACGGAGGGTCCTCTCACTTTTGACGTTTTGCGGTAACCGGAGTACTAGTAACCCCAATGAAGGAAACGCAGACTTGGATGAGGGAGGACTAGCCTTTAGACGCCAGATGAAAGGCTGGAATTCAGCAGAACAAGACCAATAGAAAGGTGATGGCTAATTCTGTATATTCTAACCATTTCGTATTTTCGTATCAAGTGGTGTAGTTCTGTGTAAGCCACCTAGTTTATTTCATAACAGTAGTCTCACCACGTGTTGGGAGGTATACAAAGATCATGTTTTTTTACTGCCCACTCACCTATATGCTTCTTTGGTCAGCCATGGAGTTATAAGTGAAGAACCTCCTTGGGTCAGCCAAGGGTCAGCTAAAATATCGATATTTTATGTCACAATATTTTTCTTCACCATGGTCCCTATTTACTACTAGTTTAATATGTTGACCAGGGTCTCAGAGCTAAGTTGCCAGGAAGAATATGTCAGAATATGTCAGACTCTTTTATCGCACCAAAGTGCCCAGGTAGATTGTATGTAGTACAGTGTCATTTGAAAATGGGAACATGGGAATTGACATTGAACTGACTTGTTTCTGCAGACAAGGACTGACCCAGAACAGGGAATGTTGTCATCACAGACACATGTGGAGCCTTTACAGCTATCTCCTGTCTTCACTGTGTAACCTTAACAACTGTGTCTGTCCTGTCCTGATCCTGGACCACAAGAACTATTAAACATTCTCAAGATGTTGGACACTCACTAACGTTACTAGAAGACGTTCTTATCAGAAGAGTTTTGAAAATAAGTCGTGGTTTTCTCAGGTTTGGCAATGACGTACTTAAAGTTTAGAAACTTGATAAGTTGGTTCAATACTAACAAATGAGTTACTTAACAACCTTCATTAATTGGATGAAGTACAATAATGCTGTGCCCTTCGACTGTTCGGATGTACAGGAAAGTCTGTGCCCTTTATGCCTTAACTTTTTTTATCCTTCTCCCACTCCTATGCAACAAGCTACCCTATTCCAAGTACTACATGCATAACATATCCGACTCCAAGAGAATAAATAGCTGATGCTCGAAGAGTTGAGTTAGAGAACCAGGAAAGGGTGGCAGCTTCAAAGTTTTATCTAAAACAGAATGGACCATATAGCAGACTTTCAGACAGCTTACGTCAAAGACTGGAAAGGACGTCCAAACCTGACCTTGCCATAACCGTGGTCACTGTTGCTAGGAGGTCAGGAGGAAAGTCCAAACCTGATCCACAGTACCTGACCCAAGTTGTGGCTAGGTTTGCAGAGCTGCTAACGCAGCAGAAAAATGTCATTTTCCAAGTGTGCAATGTCAACACTCCTCCTGAAAGCCACAGAGAAGCCGTGTACTTATCAAAGTATGTGCCAGTGATAAGTAGGAACAGTTCCTTTGCTGCGTCGGAGCAGCCAACGAGCGTTCACAAGTTTGAGAAGGAGAAGCAGGATTACGTGTTTTGTATGGAGCAAAGTTTGCAGCTGCAGCCAAACTACCTATTAATGGTACAAGATGACGCCGTCCCGAGAACTGACTTCTTCCCAGTTTTCCAACACTTGCGGAAGTATAACATTGAGGGGAAGATTGTCCATGGAGACTTGCAAACCAACCCAGAGAAGTGGGCCTTCTGGAAGCTGTACTACCCAGAGAGATGGCAGGGATACGGCAACGAGGGAAGACTGTTCTTGGAGACTGGTCTGTAGCGGTCTCATAGGAGGCTCCCTTTTGTCGCCCTCAACTGTTGTGGAGTTCTTTACTGATCGTGATTCAAGAAGGAGAACTACGGTTTTTGTGCTGGGCTTTTTCTACGCCGTTCTTTTGTGCCTTGCGATTGGGAGACAGTACCTTATAGAGCTGCGTCGGCTGTCCGCACACACGTACACTGTTGTAGATGCACCAGACTGCTGTATACCTGCTGTCCTGTACAGCCCTGAACAGGTTGCTGACATTGTTCAATACTTAAAGGGTGTGACCTGCAGTAGCCTTCTACCTATAGACCTGGCATTGGATAAATATGTCCACAGCTCAGGGTTAAAACAATATTTGGTGGAACCCAACCTCTTTCACCACATCGGTATTGTTTCCACCCTGCATGCAGGAATAAAGAACCCATGGGACTTTTAGGTAGACAGTTTTTAACATAGCAAGTTGTACGTGCATTGCTAGCTGATATTGATTTTTTGATGGCTTTAGACCAAAAAATATGAGGCATCTTTGTGCTAAGGTCCCATTTCCAAACTGGGGCCCAGTCGGGCAATTTGCAAGGAGAAAAGTGTGATATCAAGAACAATAAAAAGTGCACAAAATGTGCTAATGAGCATAATTTGTGACTGTATATTCTTGATATACATTTCTATTTTTTGGTCACACAAGCAGCCCTCAATTTGGAAATGTGGTCTTACCATAAGTCTTGACACACTTACTTGTACTTATTTCTGATAATGAGTGGTGGTTTCACTGCTTGAACCTTATCATCTGTTGCAACTGGTAATCTCTGCCTCTCAAAAAAAAATTATATCAAAAGTGACTATCTCAGGCCTGAACTTGTGGCAAATTCTCTGCAGCAAAACCCTTTTCATGAAAAAGATAACCTTTTCTTAGTACTTTTGTAGAACCATATCAATTGTCATATAATACCCTGAGATGTTATCTTTGAGGCGAATTGATCCCTACAAATCTTGTATGAAGTTGTACTGAACTTGAAAAACAGGCTGATGGAATAACAGCTTGGATCCAAGGAATACTAACAAAATCTGGTAAATTTTTGCACTTTTGATATCAAAGGAGTGATTATCATTGTTCGATATGTAGAAGGACTGATCCTGAGTGCATACTTGTGCCGCTGACTTAATTTTTGGTTGCAATTTTGGTACAACTAGATTTGATTTCTTCCACTTGGGTCAATGAGAATATATTACGAGAATAGTATCATGATGCTACTTAATTCTTCTCAATTCTGTTGTGATGTAGAATTCTATTTTTCAGAAACATAATAAGTGTACTACTGAGTAATAAGTAGTTAGAATTTAGTTGTGCTAAATGGATTTTGCTGCAATAGTGAAATAAAGTAAATAGCAGGTAATTTATGGTTAATTTTATGCAGATTTACTATATATATGCTATTAGTCAGAAAATGGAGCCACAGTCTATATCTATATTGAAAACATTAAGGCTTTTATCCACATTAATATATTTAGTCTTGAAAATAAAGTAAGACCTATCTTCTAAGCCACATTAAAATGACAATGTTTTTTGGGCTTGATTGAAACTGATATACATGTATGTATGTTAGTAATGCTGACTGTGATGTTCTTTGCCATATCAAGCAATATGTAACCATCAAATGGTTGTTTTGTTCGAAAGCAATATGTTTCCATTATGCAAAACAAATATGTTCTGTGTTGAAAACCATTCAATATTTAATGTATGTATTGCCAATATCATGAGAAATGTTTGAGAATGTGGCAATTCCTGATCCATTGAATGTAACGTTGAAAAAACGACTCTTGAATTGTGCAATTCTCCTTCTACTGCTGTTACGTTTTTGAGTTTGTACAATGAATAAAAGCATGAGCCTACAGAAGAAAGATGACAAAGGTGTTTGATATGAGTATCTTGCCCTATAAGTATAATAGTATGTATATGTATATGTATAGATAGTATATTATGAATTTTTCACACACCACTGTGCACTTGCAACATCTCATTTATTTCATGTTTAAGAAACTGAAACTGTGAACAATATTGCCTTTTTTTAAACATTGTTTTACTTTTTTTTTTCAGACAAAACAGGATAGTCGCATTAGTAACAATAGAAGCAAATGAATAAGTTTCAGTGGTAATTCTCAAATATACAGCCATATGCATGGTACTTCCAAATGTCTTACACATGTGTTGCAAACTATCCTCCCTCTAATGAATACAAGTTTATTGGCCCAGATGAACATGACAAGCAGGAATTGTGCAGATACTCTTATATTGAAGACCTAACTACTGTACATCTTAACTTCTGCCTGCTGAGTAGCCTTTTGGCACCAAAGTTGTGTTGGTTACAGGGTTAGGTAGCAGGTAAAAGATTAACCACAATAGTCACAGGGATAGAAAAATGTGCTTAAATATGCACACCTGGCCACTAGGTAACTGCTGGATTTACAACAGGTCAGGACTGCTTGTTCTTCTCGTTCTGAAGCCGCAGTTCGCGGTCGTCCTCGCGGTTCTTCTTCAGGATCTGGTTGATGCAGTACTCGCTCTCCTGTCCCGCCTCAGTCAGCCGCAGGTCCATCTCTAACACTGTACTGTTCTCCTCCATTCCCTCCTGCAGCTGTTTACCTCCGTCCTGTACGGGGAAACAACAGATGGACATACATCAATAGAGGTAAAGACAGTCCCATAGCTTTTTTCAGGCTGTAGGGGCAGTGGGTTGTTAATCCACTGTGTCTAGGTCACGGCATTAGAAGATGGAGCCCATCCCTCTACTTTTACCCCCAAAATCAGGTATCCATTTTACACCTGGGTCAAGTGAGGAAAGTCATGTTTTAAAATTGTTTTTCCCAAGCACGCAAGGTCTTGCCAGGAATGCCAGGAATTGAACCTATGACTTCTCGGTTTGGTATTGGCTAGCCTTACCACTCGGCCTTTCGACCCTACACCAGAACATGAATGTTGATACCACACTATTTTCAACATTCCCTATTGCTGACTATATGTATTTTACAAAAAACGTAAATCTTGTGACTTTTAGTCATGAGAAGTTGTGGTTGTGCACAATGAATACCAGTGAATATGGGGATAGATGAAGTGGATAATGGGAATGAAACATTTCTCCACTACAATAATAAACTTACCGGTCCGACTCTGTTGCAGGATAGGTTGATGGTGCGAACTGTGGTGTTGGTTGTGAGAACCTGGGACAAGATGGAGGCTGTTGGTTCTGTCATGTTGTTACTGCCAATGTTAAGGTCTGTGAGGGTGGAGTTCTTCAGCAGTGCCCTGCAGATAGCCTGGCCTCCGTCATCGCCAAGGCGATTGAGCCGCAGGTCCAGACACTTCAGGGTCGTGTTTTTGGACACGGCATGTCCGATGGCCTGCGCGCCGGGGGCGCCTATCTTGTTATCACACAGGTTCATCTTGACTATCCTGCTGCGGTTGATGAGCTTGCCGGCGGCGCGTGCTCCACTGTCCCCGATCATGTTGTGCGAGAGGTCGAGCTCTATCAGCGAGGGGTGGTCCAGGAGGTGGCTGATGAGGACGCGGACCTTGTCGTCGTCCACCTTGCTGCGGCACAGGTGGAACTTCTGCAGGGTCTTGCAGCTCTTGACGGCCTTGGACAGCAGCAGACAGTCCCGCGTGGTGAACTGGAACAGGTTCCACTCAAAGTTCATCCCGCAGTCCTTTACACCATACGTCACGCCAAACTCCTCCAGGTGGGGCAGCTTTTCAAAGACCGGACCAAACTCAAAGTGATCCACTTCAGGCCCGTCCCCCAACTCACTCCCTGTTTCTGATGTATCATCATCTCTCTTGGTCTCCTCCTTGATCGGAGGGAGCAGCTGTTTGATGTTGAGTTTCTTGATGTACTCCCCTGACAGCGGTAAGACGTCTGTCACTATGTCCATGTTGCTCCTCTCGGGGACGAAGTGTTCTATGATGTGCTCCAGATTCCTCTCAAAATACATCCTCTTCCAGCTTCCGCCATACTGGGAAACGTCACAGATTTCCCATCTTGCCTTGCAGCACCTCTGCCAGTACCCTTCATCACTGATGAGGTGGGCGGTGACCTTGAGAGGAATGTTGGTGGAGATCTTCTCTAAAA